TCAACACCAATAAAATGCCATATAATCATATGTAACTTGTTAAATACTCGAGTTAGAAGAAAAATGCATAGAACCTTTCTTGTAGAGGACATCATTACCTACAACTTCCATATAAAAATTTTTTCGCCATCGTCAATAATGTTAATAAGAATTGCTGTGTGTTCAGACTTCAGAGACACCGCGTACAGTATACGTTCTATGCGGCTGTCTAGAATGGCTAGTAGTACGTCAGCTGGTATCTGCGCATAAGACAAATATCGAGTGACGACGACTGGTCGTCGTGAGTCGTCGTGAGTAGTAACGTGGGTGGGTGCGCTAGTCAGACGCCAGACCGGCTTCCACACAGCGAGGATCGACGCGGTGGTGCGGTGCGTGCTGGTTCCCTGCGATTAATCGTGAACCAGAGTGTCGCGGGATTGGGAACGAATGTATTGAACGGAACGACGGCGCTCGTCCACCTCTAAACCCGGTGGAGTCAGCGATTCGATCAGGCAAACACGGAGAACCGCCGCCGCCGCCGCCGTCGTCGCTTTCACGGATCGAACGTGTCTAAATACGAAAATGGGATTGAAGGACTTTCGAATTGTCTACAGCGACCCTTGGAATACCTACTATCCGGGGCAAACGGTCAGCGGGAACATCGTCGTCGTTTTGGACAGCACGAAGAAGATCCGCGGTACGTTCCGTCGAAGAAAACGAATAATAAATCAGTGAAACGGTGAAATGAGTCACGCCGCTGGTATGCTATTTTTGGACCGGGATTAATTTCAACGGTGGCACGCGATATCCGCGGATCGACAGGTGTGTTTTAGATCCTGTCCGATTTCATCCGCGACCTTCGCAACGCTAACGCTCTTCGACGCTGGTATGCCTCGATTTGTAAATATTGGAGAACATTACGTCTATGTACAAAAGGAAATTGGAAACAAGGAATGGTTTCTCTATTTAAAAAAAAATTTTAAACAATTATAGTCATTAGGAAATATTAAAATATTTATTATAGATTTAAAACAATTATAGTGATTAGGAAATATTAAAAATTTATTATAGACTTTTGTATTATAAAAATGTTTTGTTTCAGGAATTCAGAATTTCTACTCACTGGCTTGAGATTAAATGTAAAATGATAGACAGGAAGTTAGTGGGTAGCAATTGTGACGTGAAAAGGAATTAGGACATTTACTATAGTTACTGTATTCACATAAAACTTAATTGTTATTTTTAATTTC